TCGCACATTGCATTACTTTCTTCTATGGGGTTGTTTGTGTGTGTTGTTGCATTTGTTGTTGCTGTTGTTACTTTATGTATGTTTGTTTGGAAGATTTGTTTGTCTTAATTAATTTCATCCATTTATAAAGCTTCTAAGGGCAGGCGTAAGGTACTTGCAAACGGTGAGGTGCACGCGGCCCCGCACTCTCCTTGTTGTTGGACTTCATTCCCATTGCAGTTGCGTATTTTTGAAAATACTTTTAAAAACCGCTTATATGTTGGCAAATAATTTTTAATCATATTTTAATCACTTAAAAATAAAACAATATTTTTAAATTAGATAGGTTATTTTTAATTTTTCTGACCTGTTTTGCACTATTTGCATATTTAAAAACTAGACACAACAAAACAGCATGAAATATCAAAAACACATATCGGTGCTATGAATAAATGGTGTGTCTCAAAAAAATTAATTAATAACCAGAAGACTATATCTGATTATTTTAAAAAATTGTTCAATCAAGAAAATAGAAATGGCGAGATATTTTAGAGCTAATAACATCTACTGTTCAGTATTTAGCTAAAAATAAACTGACATTACGTGGGACTTCTGAAACGCTGTTTTCCCGAACAATAGAATTTTTTGGAACTTGTTGAATTAGTTTCCAAATATGATCCGTATTAATGCAACACGTCAATATCTCAAAAAGTACAGAGAAGAGAGTTCATTATTTAAGCAAAGATACTCAAAATGAAACTATTTAACTTTTGAGATAAGTAGTGTTGTCGACAATCGGTGGTCGTATACAAAAATTTAAATATTTTTGTATACCCAAGTTTTAAAAGACTACTTGAAAAATTCAGGATTGGGACTCGAAACTTGCAGAGGGCAAGGATATGACAATGGAGCAAATATGAAAAGACATAAATTTGGAGTACAAGCACATATCCTACATTCTTTGTGGATGTCACAATTTGAATTTAATACTTACGGAACTGTCAAATGTTTCTGACAGAGCGGTTTTATTTTTAGGATAATACAACGAATATATAGTTTATTGTCAAGCTCAAATTATCGGTATGATACATCCGAAAAATATTTGTCATTTACTCTAAAACCACTATCGGAGACAAGGTTGGAATGCAGAGTAGAAAGTTTAAACTTTTGTCGGTTAAAAGTATAGATTATTTGTTTCCTGGAACTAAAGTGTAAAAATAACATATGATATATTTTTCTATTTAACATTTGTCATCTGACGTTGATTTGGGGCGTTAATTTGTCACGTTAATTATGTTGTTCATTGCTCATCAGCATTCATAACATTTGGTTATTATACCTCCATCATTTGCCTGTCACGTGTGATGACGCAATTAACAATCGATACGTCATACGATCACGCCAACGTTGCAGAAGTTTACAGGATGGTCTCAATAACTTGTATAACAATAACCAAGCAAACAAGCAAGCAAACAGATAAACAAATGGATAAACAAACAAGGTTTTGAATAAAATTCTAACTTATGAAAAATAGAGCAAAGAAACAAATAAAAAACGACAAGCAAAGAGCAAATAACCAATAAATAAATAAAGTTGGTTTATTAGAAATTGTATAGAAAATACACAAAAATCGTAAACTGCTGATTTCTTAAAGGATAAAGTCTAATCAAAATGTCATAAAATACAGTACTTATCACGTTGGGATTATATGATTTTAAAATAAAACTTTCAATTTTAAATCTATTTAGATCGGCTTAAGTTATTTTATATTTGATCATTTGGCATAATAGAATCGACATAATTTCAAAGATTAAAAAATGTTTAGCATCACTCGTTTAACCATTGTGGTGTGTATAGTAAGATTCGAAGTTTTGCGTTTTGAAATAACTTCAAGATTATGTCACTGACGGTGCTGTATTGTTAAAGTAAGCCAACTCGTGATTGCTTGTGAAACGTTTTTAAAATTTTGAATAAATATTAATCGTTTATACATTAAAACTTGAAACATTTCACGAATTCACTGTTATAATTTACCGAATTAGCTCCATGATCACCGAGTAAGCTCTGTCAGTAGAAGGAAGTGCCCTGTCTCGCGCTGCTATTACGCGATGACATGGTTCTAATACTGTCCGAAACTCAAAGACCATCATACCAGTATGATGCATGTGCTTACGCGTGCATGCATAATATGTATGTGCGTCCTGTGGTGTGGATAGTGTAAAGCTTTTGTGGCACGAAAGTTTAATTATAAGTATAGAACAACATGTAGGCAGTTCTGCGTTTGACAGAGTTGCATTATAAAGAATAAAAAAAAATTTCAAATAGTTGTAGTCTATTTTTAAATATTAATTATGGAATCATCGTATGAGCACGTACGCGCGCAATATAACTCACGAACGGTGCGGCAAACTACGTAGGTATGTTGTTCTGGATGAACTCGTATGTAAAGACGTGTTATCCTATGTAGGAGTACATGTGTTAGGCCTGTCTATCTAGCTAATTAATCATTTTTCAGTGCAATGATTCGTTTTCGCAAACTCGCAAAATTGAGGTAAGTAAATATGATGCATGTTTGTTCGTCTAGCAGCAAGTCGCGATTGCATTATTGATTAAGTACAAATAACTTGCTACCTCGATGTCAGAAAATTTCCCAAACAGAAGAAATGATCTAACCAGCGTTTCTATTTTTTTCACCAAAATTGAAACATTGACTAGATTTCAAGAATAATAAATATTAAGATTATAATAATATATAAAACAAAATATAAACTTTATTATTAACTTGCGAATAATATTTAGCTTGAACAATATTTATTTGTATTCAAACTAATAAAAACTACACTTTCCTGTTAAATCAATAACGTGAAAAAATAAGAACACCATATGAAACAAACATTGCAATGTAAAGTGGAAGCAGAATGTTTATTGAAATTTTAAAATAAAGAACCAGAAAACTGAAACCCATTCAAGTTTGCTTGGTTGCCTGGACGCACAAACCGAAAAAGCACGTCCTGCAACGTTGTTTTGTGTGTGGACGACTCTAAATTTCAAATGGAATTTTTTGAGTTGAACTAAAAAATGTAAAAACATTATGAAAATATTTGATAGAAATTGTTTTTCCTGTTACTGATGAATTGATTTTAATGAATGATATGTCAGTTGAGTGACTGGTATAAACAAAAATTATTACATCGACTTTTTTTATTTATAATTTTCTTTATTCTCTTTTCTATATTAATAAAAAAATAGTGTTTAAAATATTTTTTCAGCAAAAGATGGAAGGCCACCCGTCCAAGCATCTAATCTAATTCATGTAGTCAATTATTATGTTTGATTGCTAACAAAATGTAATTTACTGAATTCTGTGCATAGGTATAGTGTGAAATAATTTCCTTTTCGAATTTTTCATTATATAAAGTTTTGAATTTTTAAAGAATTGTAATCTCGTCTGTTTTATATTTAAAAATTGGTAACATATTAATATTTTTTTGGTAAACATGTTATCAAATAGTTATAAAATATCTTTACTGTCAAAAATGAAATGTTAGGTGACTCAATATCCATTTTGATAACTTTCCAATAAGATTATTATCGGATAGCCAGTTTAAATTTTTTGAAATTTTTGGCTGACGTTTCTAGCTAATTTACGTTCAAACTGAAATGTTTAAGTTCTCTGCAAACTCAATTGTTGTCGTATTGCACTAAACACAGGATGAAATATTGCTAATCTGCGTGATGACCAGTGTCATAAATCATTTTTATTAGTTGTTGTTTGTTTTTACCATTTTTGTTAGTAATTTTAAAAACCTTTAGCAAATATTTAAAGAATGATTAATGGATGATGAAATGGTGGAATCAATAAGAAAGATTTATTGTAAGTCTTTCAATGATTAAAACACTCCCGAAATATTTTTATCCTTTCATAATATTGTCTTGCATGTTGTAAAGAAATAATAACATTGAAACATTCAGAAAAAGATAATAGATTAAAATGCTATGGGCAATTTCAAAATAACTGTCATGCTCAGCGTTGTTATTATATATCAATTATTTGTTGAAAATATTAAAAAAAAATTCTCGGAAGTCATTTAATGGATAATTTGGAAATAATGAGACTTAATGATGAATAAATTTTTACGATGTTGGTAGCCGACCGGGCAGTCATTTTGAAAGATTATAATGTTTGCTATTCCAGGAGACCACCGTCTCTCACGTACCTCGCAATGAGTCTTCATGATGGGAAGCCCATTGAAGAAATGTAACATCTCTTTGTTCTATAAAAAGAAATTTGCGTTGGAATCATACAACTCTTGGAAAAGATTACAAATATTCAATGAAACTGGTTGTTGAGAACGTAATTTTTTTTTACACTGACTGGGTTTGATTGAAATTGAATGAAAAGAGATCCCGCCTACCACACGTGTGTGTGTGTGTGTGTGTGTGAGTTGTGTGTGTAGTGTGTTGCTGGTGATGCCTTTGATAGATAATTATGAAAAAAATAAACTATAATAAATTAATGAAAGTTAGTAATAACGATCATAAAGATGCATGCACACAAACTAGCCTACATATCACGGTCGCCTATTACCAACAAATGTTTGTATTTATTTTTGAAAGAATATTACAATTGAGGCTATTAGATTACTACGTCAACTATGTAAATATAAACATGCTAATAAGTAAATAAAAATAAGTAAACACGATCACAAATGTTTTCAATATTTGTGTTCACTTTGTCGCTGTTGTGTTTTCAATTGCATTTGAGAAAGTTTCAAAATGTATAGGCATTGGTCTCTGAATTTTTTTGAAAATATAATTAGAAATTTTATTTGAAATATTCTCAAATAAAAAATATTAAGCTTATTAATTTGTTTCTTATATACGAGTAGTAAAATGAAGTAATTTTGCGCGTAGTAAATGAAAAAAGATTCATTAAATAAAGTTTCAAATATTTGAAATAAAAATAACGATCGATACCTGGTTGGCGGGAAGATTTCTAATATTAATAAAAGTGAATCGAAATGAATAAAAGTTTTTGGAAGGCCATCTTCAAATCTACTTCACGCTGTAAAGTCACCTCAGGTTGTTAAAAATACAGATGATACACAAATTGTAATTATGTAAAAAAAGAAATGCCTCTAAGAAACATACACACATACATGAGTAAATAAATAAACAAACATATACAGAAAGATACATAAATTAACAGGCAATATTTTGCCAACAAAAAAATGTTTAAACCTTTAATTTTTTAATTTGATTGTGAGTCAGTTATTAATCTGGATTTAAACTTACAATTTTGCAATGAAAAACTTTCGTTGTTCAGTGGCCAATGATTCAACAGTTACCGACGAAGACTTCAACTTCGGCGAGCATAACAGCCATGTCTTCAACTTCGGCGAACACAACAACCATCCAAGTATATCATTTATCACATTATTTGTTTATTCATTTACTTATATTTTATTCATTTGTTCATTCGTTTGTTCATTCATTTATCCATTTATTTGATCATTCATTTGTTCTTTCATTTGTTCATTCATTTGTTCATTCGTTCTTTTATTTACCCATACATTCATCATCGCTCGTATTAACGAGTGTACTATCAGTAATGATGATGACCGGCATTGTCGTGTGTTTATAAAGCAATGCAAATTATTACATGGCCTTATCTGCAATGATAACATGAACTCCTTTCATTATGAAGGATGAAATATCGATTGTTGTTTGCAGCAATAAAATCAGTAATTAACACTATGGCAAGATTTTTTGTATTGATGGCGCTAATGCACGAGTTTTTTTTCAATCATATCAATCAATATATATTTATCTTTTGCCATAAATAATATATATATACGCATAATGTTTATGTTCCAGTGTTATGCTATGTTATGTTAAAACCAAAAATGAATTTTTATGCAACTGTTTTGGTCACGTATCAGACAAGATTTGGCAACTTGAAAAGCCTGTTGTTTTGTTGAAATTAAAAGTTTAAACTTTTTTAATATACTTTTCTAAAGTTAAAATTACAAAATAATCTTCACTGGACAAAAGTCATGTTTCGGACTTGATGGGCACTGCATCATCACAATGGTCCTTCACGCACTTTAAAAATCTTTTGCTTCAAAGCATTCAAGAAAGAAGCTTCTTAGTTTAAATAGCCGAAGTGGCAGTCAGACAAATGGAAATAATGCACCTCCTACTTCAAGTTGCATCAGCAAAAATATTTTAGACATTGTTTATTTATCAACCTCACTGGCGTATTTTCAAGTGGCAAACAAAAATTTTAATTTTCGGTGCTCAGAGTTGAAAACCCACACAAATATTTTGCCAAAATATAAATACATTATTCATGAGTATTTTAATCTGAAGCTGTTAAGAATTAGTTCAAATTTAATTAACTTTTAAAGATTAAAGTTTTATTGATAGTTAATTAGTTAATTAATCGTGATTAATGTGATCATCCACAAATTCGAAAACCACATCTCCCATTTTAACTCGTTTGTAACAAAATAGCTAGGAATCCATATAAGCCTTGTCCAAAAATCAGATCTCTATCTAAAATCCAGATTAAATAAGCAATTTCAACGTCAATGCAATTTCGGTTGCAAATTGTAATATCTCTTTCTCATTATTAAACTTGGCAGTTTGTTGTGCAGTGTGGCGTCTATATTGACCAGGAAAGAAGTTCGTGTTTGGTGCTTTGTGGCTCCTTCCCCGAGGAATGTTGAAGGTTATAGTCATTTTCCATTGATCTCAAACTGCCAGTACTCTTTCAATGTTATGTTATACTCCCAAAGACCTGAAGGTGAATTATAATTGTTCAAAGTGGTCTAGTTGCGTGTAGATGGAGTGGTGCTGTTGACTGTTGCGGATTGCTGCTGTGAATCTATGATGGTTAGGAGGTGGCAGGTACAAATCCTGTTGAAATTATCATTGTGAACAAGCCAATACATTAAACTTTTCAGCCCTATCGATATTTGCGCCAGTCAGTACCGTAATTTAAAAATAATATTTGAAAATGTGGATGAGTTGATGGTTTAATTTGAAAGTGTTTATGTAACAAAAAATATTTTTTAACTCTCCACTACCATACCGTTCCATCTGGAGCTTTGATATTAAAGCGTAAATTAAGTAAAAAAATTAAATAAGTAGTGGAAATTGTTCGATGGTTAATGCTTATAATGTTCAATCATCAATTACTCGCTAATTTCATCTAGCATAAGATCAACAAGTTACAAAACTATTCTTCAGGTACGTTAAAAACACTTTAAATGCATTTATCGGATCTCGTACGTATTTATAATAATTAAAATCAATATTGAATAAATATCGCATGGTGCAGTGGTTGTCCAGTCAGTGGTCGAACAAAATATTATATTATTACATAAGCGTTGTTATAAAAGAATGTATTGTGTATGTAATAACACACACATTCAAACTTTTTATACATCAGAAAAAGACAAAAATGAGAAAGGACATGATCAGACAAACGAAAATCCACCAAAGAACAACCCGCGAAAAGTGCAACCCTGCTTCAAATCCGCAAACACTCAATCTCACGCCTCACATCCAGCCAACTCCTCATCACATCCTGTCTCGCAACCGTCTCGTCTCGACTACAACTCCACATCAGCCGAGTCACAAAAAAGACAGCGACCACTGGTTGCCGACCCAAAAATATCTAGGCAGACCGTTCAATATTTCATCGGTCCCAACAATGACATGGAAACTATTTTTAAAAAGTAATTCTCTGATAATTTTTTTCTACTTTTTAACTTTATTCATATAATTAGCATAGAATTTTTTAATGTTTTCTTTAAACATGCATGCAGCATTAATTAAACTAATCTGATATTTCGTAATTTCAACATGTTCTCCTTTCTACCTCATTTTCTACATTAATTATCGAGTTATTTCTGATATTAATTCTGTTATTTCCATAGTAACTCTTGATATTTACAATGTTTTACAAAACAATTATGTTGACTCGTTTGCTCTGGTCTATTTTAAAACGTTTGATAGTAATGTTTTATTGTGCTAAGTAACATCCATCCATATTTTTCACAACAGCGTTCAATACCATTTTTGTATTACAGTCCCATAAATAATTGTCCCGATTGATTTTGTTAAATTAAGAACACTTTCAAATAAAAAACAATCAGATGAATGAAATGTTTTAAAAATGAATTTGAAGATTGAAACAGTTCCACCAGAAAATATCGAAGGGTGAGACCCTGAGTGCTGAAGAGTTGAAGAATGTCCTAGAGAAGGCTATACAAGCATCTGAGTTGACTTCATTCATACAAAACACGTTAGTTAGTTTTGTGGTTTCGTGTCGCTATGTTGGATTGCTGTTGCTTCTGCTGCTGCTGTTGTTGTTGTTGTTGTGGCGGTTGATGATGTTGCTGTCATTGTATTTGTTGTTGTAATGCTTGTTACTGTTATGTCTTTTGTTAGTGTTTGGGGGCCGTTCTGTGATCGATGTTAATGTTGAACATGTTATTTTCTTTGGCTTTCGTTCCTAATTTGCAGCGATAGTTTACTTATTGTTGTCTAAATTTTAAAATTGAAGTTTCTTTGGTAACATTTGTATACCTGGTGAATGCTGTTGCATTTTCAGGTTATATATGATGTTTCTATGAATAAATTGATTGTAAATCTTTATGCTGTTTTTATTAATTACGATCACGTTGTTATTCGCACTGTTTGATTTATTATGATCATATTGTGTTTATTTTGTGCAAATGGTGCCGGGTTTGAATGTGGCTTAGCCGTTTTTGCGTTGTTGTTGAAACGATGTTGTATTGACGTATAAATATTTTAAATCAATAATATAAAAATTTAAATTGAGAATACAAATCATCATTAATAAAAAGAAACGAATTAACAAATTTGTTTCCAAATTAATGAAAGTTATATTATTAAAACTGTTTACAATTTAACAGCCTTACGTTACATTTACTTTTGAGTGTCAAAATCGACAAACCTTCCGTTAGTGACGAAAATAAGAATTTATTTCTATTTTATAAAAATATAGTTCACTAGAAAAATTACTTTAGAAAAAGAATGATTGCCAAGCGTACAGACGTACAGTTCATGATAGGCCCGCGGTAAATATTGACAACCGAACGAGGCATCTCTTTAATTAAATTTTACCATTCAAAACTTGATGTTGAAGTAAAATTCAAAAAAAATTCACAATTATTTTTTCAAATATTCAAATACTATTTTTTTCAAAATTTTAACGGTAACTACCAAAATGGTAAACCGGCAAGGATATTCAACCAATCAAAAATGACCTGCTGCTGACAATGATGAAATGATGGCAGGTGATGATGCATCCTATGTGATGAAATGATGAGTTGATGATGAGAGATGATGCATTAGGAAATGATAAATCCAATGATTATGAATGATAACTTAATGATGACTACGATGAAGATTGAAAAATGATTACAAGTAGATGATTATGGCTCTTTACCTTTGAGTATAATTCAAACGAAACGAAACGCTGAATCGCTCCTAAATCATACAAACACGACAAAAACAATGATGACAATGACGCTGATATCATTTAGCCGTACGTGCCAAAACAACAAAAACAACAACAACAATAATAATAGTGATAATATTAACAACAATGCGAACTCTTTTATTTTTAAAATAATAATAATTAGTGCGTTCGTAATTACAATCTAATTGACGACGTAATAAAACTGCTATGAAAATGTCGAAAGATTTGATGGCTGCTAAGTAGCGAGGCGGCAAGAGATAACTACAAAATGTATCATATAATGCACTTGTATCCTTATTGACACTGTTCGTACACTTAACACGTGATAGACATGATTAATAATGAACATCATCTCAGAATTGTTACTGAATATAACGATTGTTATTACTACTACTGATACGACTACTACTGTTGCTGTTACGAATACTACTACTACTACTACTACTACTACCACCACCACCACCACTACTACTACTACTATTACTACTACAACAACTACTACTAAAATAATGAAATCCACAACGACAACAACAAAAACTACAACAACATTAATAATAACAACAATAAATAAAAAATTAATGAAATAGATAATTAAAAGATAACATGATGACATCATTGTTGACAGAGATATAAATGCAATTGTTATAACAATACTCTCATATTAAATCACAAAATCTTAGTAGCTACGTTTTTTTATTAAAAAAGCAAAAAATAAATTAAAAATATTTACGTCTTATTTGTAATTAAATTTTTTTCATCAAAGTTATATTGAAACAAAAGTTTAATTTTATTCTCGCAAATGAGTAATTCATCATTTGCACGACTCGTTATTATGTTAGTGTGACGATGACTGGTTGAAACAAGTTTGATACATGGTCCCCTTTTCAAAACAACATTAAGCCAACCAACGCTAAGCACCTGATGAAGTCATTATTTATTTATATTATGTAACATTTTTCATGTAATTAAAGAGCAACCGAGATAAAATTTATATATTTTCATATCTATTTAGTTTTTATATGAATAATACAGTATTTTATAATTTTATTTTATAAACAAAGTATATTTAATTCGTTAACCATTGAAACCAAAATTTGCAGCAAAGAACAAGAAGAGAACGTGTTCGACTCCGAGACGGTTCCATGCCAGGTACGTGATTGGTTGACAATGACCTTTACGAGGTCCTCCACAACCAGTGCCAACAAAACTAGCGACGATTCTTCGGAACTGACCACAAGGTTCAAAAGTGTCGTAACAGCAGTCAGGGCGGGGATATCCGTTGAAAGGTATTTCCGCCATGCTTGTGGTTTAGGCGTGTGTGTGTGGTTGCGTTCTTCACACGTTTACATCAGTTTAAATTTTGTTAGCACTTTAACACGTATTAAACAAAAATTGGCATGAAGGTGTTTAAAAAACTTTCAAAATTATAAGGCAGGTGTCAGATGTACAAACACACACATTCTTACACACCCGTTCTTATACTCAATTTTTTTAGTTTCTCTTTCTCTCTTTTTCTTTCTCTCTCTCTCTCTCTCTCTCTCTCACACACACACACATTCTTTGCCTCTTACATTCAATACATAATATTTTCATAGCAGAAGGCATTAATTCTACATTTTAATGGTTGAAGAAGAAATTCAACCAACTTACCATGCTACATTGTGAATATTTAAAAACAACTAAGAACTCTCGGGCAAAAATTTTAATTGCTCACCAAACTGAACCTGACAGGCGATAATTCAGATGTTCGTTTTTTATTGCGGTGCCTTTGGAAGAGCATGCAATATATCAGAGCGGTGGCATCAATCTATCATTGTATCTTTCTTATTTAATCATCATTCCACCATCATATTTCTTCCATTTACTTACCAATCCATTATCATATCATTTACATGCTAATCTATCATCACATCTTCTACTTGAACATCAGTATATGTATTTTCTACATCACCATTCGTTCTTTTTCATCAATCTTCATTCATGACACCAAATCATTCCATCCATCTACAATATTCATTACCGACTATTCAACCATTCACCCATCTATCTATCTATCTATCTATCTATCTATCTATCTATCTATCTATCTATCTATCTATCTATCTATCTATCTATCTATCTATCTATCTATCTATCTATCTATCTATCTATCTATCTATCTATCTATCTATCTATCTATCTATCTATCTATCTATCTATCTATCTATCTATCTATCTATCTATCTATCTATCTATCTATCTATCTATCTATCTATCTATCTATCTATCTATCTATCTATCTATCTATCTATCTATCTATCTATCTATCTATCTATCTATCTATCTATCTATCTATCTATCTATCTATCTATCTATCTATCTATCTATCTATCTATCTATCTATCTATCTATCTATCTATCTATCTATCTATCTATCTATCTATCTATCTATCTATCTATCTATCTATCTATCTATCTATCTATCTATCTATCTATCTATCTATCTATCTATCTATCTATCTATCTATCTATCTATCTATCTATCTATCTATCTACCCATCAATCAATTTATTCATTTACCCATCAATCCATCCATCCATCCATCCACCTGCCCACCGTGAACATTTCTCTTTCGCTTGACCTCTGACCTGGTCTTGCAAATAAAATTTGTAATATTTCCTGCCTCAACTCGGTTTAGTGTTCATTTTATTGCAGCCATCTTGCACGTCTCAATTGTTGGGCTGGATTTAAATTTAGAAAGCATTCAACGTGAATTGTATTATCCATCATCATCATCATCAACAGTACTTCTCCTTCCACTCTCATTCAATAGGTAATTATTGAAAATTCCAATTTGATGAAAATTTTGATGGTAGATGAATGTTGGACACCTAGTTTCCTTATTGTTGTGGTCAAGAAAATCACTCGTTAAAAACTTTCTTTGTTTGATTGCGTGTTTCAATCCGTGCTTGGGCGATTTCTGTTAGCAAAGATTGGGGAGGTACATTAGTATGAGATTTGCGTATCACTTACTTTTTACAATTTTGGTAATTTTGCGTGTATCAATTTCAGGTTAGTTTTATAAGTTTTACAAGTTCAGTTTTATACATATAGGTAGATATTGTAATGGCAGTCATAATGCGGCATTATAACGCTAATGAATTATTCTCGGATCAACACAATTAGACTTATTAAAAATTTCAAAATACGCTAATTAAGTGTAGACAAATGTTGACAAATATTAAAAGCTCACCACAGACGGATGGGAGAAAATTACTAAATAAAAACAGTGACGTCCATGATCACATTTGAGAAAAAAATGTTTCAATTTTTAATACATACCTGAATGAATGGCTAAACAGTCTGCAGTCTGGCTTTTGATTTTTTCATACTTGTAGCCAACTTTTTTTTACAAAATTGATTAGTTTTTGTTGGGCGTACCTGAACTAATTTATGATACTAAATGTTTCAAGTGTGGCGTCATGAAAAAAAAGGTTGTGGATGCGTTTTAAAGAAAATAATACTTGGCTTGCAATGTTAGTTTGCAATTAATCAAGTCCAATAACGCAAATGTTTTCGGTGGAATGTTTTCATCAACGTTTCTAGTAAGTGAAGATAGATGCGAAGCTCAAACGACATCATTAGTTGCCTTTGCTTTGTTGCACTCGATGGCAATGAGTAAATGTTTCAACACCAGAATAATATTGCTGTGGTTTCAAAATGAATTGCGATTGAATTTGTTAAAACATTGCGAAGTACTTGAATTAAGCAATTTCTACATTTTCACGTTAAAAAAAGAATTAAAGCTAAGCTTATTTTTTAAAATTCTCTATTTATAATATTACATCGCGTAAACACGTGAATAGAAACAGCAAACTATAAACGTCAACTTAATTTGTGAACTCGGCTTCAATTGGGTATTTTGATTTCGACTTTTTGAATGAAGCAACATAACGTATGTAAATCAAAATGAAAACAGCGTGAATGTTTGAAAATAAATGAGAAATATTCCTAAAATTAAAAAAAAAACTTGGAAAAAAAATCAGTTCTTGAAAGAGATAGTGCAGCGACAAAACAAAACAATCTGTATGGGGAATCTCAACTTGTGTATTCTCCGTGCTTACTCAACTCTACAGTATCAAAACACGCGATGCTGTGTACTTCAATTTGTTTGAGAAGTGTCCATTACTTGCGAAGAATGCTTGTTTCTGTCAGCACTAATGTAGCAGACCCCTCTCTTCTTACAAACGTTTTTGAGTTTGCTGTTGAAATGTGAACAGTTTGCTGTTGTTACCTTATTTTTGTGTGACAAACATTTTAAAGATGAAAAATATTACATGTATTAAACATAATATATACAAACTTACTTATGAACAATTGTTTATGTAAAATCATACTAATTTTTAGAAAACATCTTGTCCAAATGAATAAAAGAATGACAAACTTTTTTTTCCGTTTTTCTCTTTGGTTGTAAGAATGTGCAAAACGCGAGCCGACCACAACACATGTCCGTCTTGGTGTCAACAATCAAGTCTCCACCATTTTTATGCCTTATCATTTTGATTTTCCAAACTATTTTTGGCGCCATTGTCATCATCATCATCGTCGTCTACACCATCATCATTATTTTCACCATCACTACTACCATCATCATTTCCATCACCATTATCATTTGCCCTACAACCACCACCACGCCATTAGCATCATCACCATCATCACCATCATTACCATTTTTTTCCTCCATCTCAACATCACTGTCATCAGTTCGCAGTTTCTTTAGTCAAAAAATTTTCAAATAAATAAATTTTAAAGGTCATCATCAAATTCTTTCGGTTCTTATCTTGATTTGATTGCCATGGTGAGGAGTGATAAACTATCGTGGTGATTAATGCACGGATGGAGATGATGATGGTGAAGACGACGATGACGATATGGATGATGACAACGATGACGAGCATAATCACGCAAGAGTAGATGGATTGAATGAATGAATATTCACGGATGAAAGAACAAATCTTTCCTGATGTGCAAATGATGATGAATAGATGGACGATTTAAAATAAAAAAATTCATAATGATTGACAAAAGGAAAGTGTATGGAATGAATGATGGATCGACAGATGAGAAATGAATGATGAATAGGTTGCGGTTATGACTTTCATCTGTTTTAAAACCTTCCACTTCTTATCATATTTATCATATTTTTCCATCAATATTTTCTTTTTAATAAAGAGCACAATCATTATTGCTGTAAATTAAGGAAAAATTGTTTCACCGTCACAAATATTTTATAAAATGTTGTTGCTGCATATCTGTAGGTTGACCAAAATGTCGTCCCCCAACCAAGATTTCAACAAACAAGTCAACAAAGTTTTAGTGGTTAGATACAATTATAAAATTAAGGTATTTGTACCAAATTTTTAAATAAAATTCAATAAAGTGAATATAGATAGTGTTTTAACATTTTTTTTACTGAAAAATATTCCAATGCAGAAATTGGACGATTGGGCATTCAACGTGTTTGAATTGAATTTGGTAACGAACAAGCCGATAGCATTTCGCTACGTTGCCAGAGCTCTGCTCAACAAATTTGATTTTCTCACCAAATACAAGGTATTCTTCTTTTCCTCTTTTTCGCGCCCTTTTTTTATTTATAAAAACAAAAGTTTGTTTATTTAATTTCAACTAAATAAATTGAAAAAACAAAAAATTGTACCGAATTTAATTTATATTAATAAAATAATGTGTTGACGGCCAGTTGAAGTGAGAATGTACCTTGACGATTTAAGTTTGTAACTCATGAGATTTTTATACGGGCATTTGATTATTAGAAAGTACTGTTCGACATTGACGATGTTCATATTTAACCCAGCAACCACAAACGGCCAGCAATAATTACCAACAACTACCAGCTAACTCCAATAACAGCCACTAACAACCTCCATTAACCACCAATTATCATTTACAACCACCAACAACCACAAACAACACCAACCTCATAAAGATCCAAAAAGCCTGCCTGGAAAACTTCATAGTGGCGATGGAGGAGGGCTACAGGAAGCACAACAACTCCTACCACAACGACATCCACGCGGCAGATGTCGCTCAAACTGTCAACAGCGTCATTTCGCAAACGGAGTTGAAGGTTCGTTAAATATGCAGCACATTGAAACATCAAGGCGTTCATCAATCTTGCAGATCATTTTCATTTTTGAAAGAATGTTGTTATTCGCATTGTTTCCGTCTATCTACTGATCTACTGAGTTTTAAATTTTGTGAAATTGCTATACACATGTTCTACTCTTTTTAATTTTCGCTGAATTATTGCCATTATATGCAATCAAAAAAATTTCAATACCGTTTCACATGTTAATGCATGGTGTTTTTATGTCTATGTAGATCTTATGTTATGATGAAGTTGGCCAGTTTATTAGCAGGCGATGATACAATAATGTTTCTTAGAAGGGCTTGTTAGCACTTGAACGAATGCAATACCAAAGACAGGCTCAACAATACAAATGCACGCAAACAAGCGGAACATTTTCATTGATGTTCTCGTTATTCGTTCCAAGTGTTCTTATGGATTCATCATTATATTGGTGGTTGCTGTTGTTTAGGAAGTTGCATGTAAGGTGACAGTTCATTGTTGTGATTCTCAATAATTTTGTTGTTTTTGCTGTTTTGTTGTTGTAGTCAACTCAACTTTGCGTCTGACAATATTGTTGTCAACATGACAAGTGAAGTTAAACAGCCATTGAAATTCGGTGCAGTTGTTATTTTTCTTCTGTTTCCTCCAACTTGTTTTTTCTTCACGTTGTTGTTAAAGTTTCTCCAGAGTGTTGCCATAAAAGTTTTATCGGTTCTTCGGTAATAACTAGGTTTTTAATATTTTATCTGTTGGAAAACATTTTCGTGATTTTTTCAGTTTTCAAGTTGCAAGGAACGACAGCTTGTGAGTTATGAACTACTTGCAACGATGTGAAGTCAGAGTTAGTTTAATGCTGACGTGTGAGTTGACGTCCCTTGCTTCTTGCATTATGGCGAGGACTGAAAAGAACTAAATTGTTTTATTGTTCTCCTCATAAGCTTCTCAACCGCCAGGCTCCTCGTGTTTTATTATCTGCCACGCCTCTCATTATCTGGTTCAATTCTGTCACAAGAACTGTGTGCTATTTAGGAATAAACGGCTTGGGCATGCTCCAGGCTAACAATTTAATATAAACTTACTGTCCCAACAAAAATTTAAACGTATAAAATTAATTAACAATCAAGAAAATGAGAGTTAAGAGGTCGTTTTTAAAACTTGCCACAAAATATTTCAATCGAAAAAATTTATCGGTGGAACTGTTAAGTATAGTTATAGATGTGATTACAAAACAAAATTTGAAAAAAATTATAACATTGCAAATCGTTGCCTGGCAAGTATATAAATATTTGCAGGTGAGTCTGTTAAAGTGAACATACATTGTTGTCAACGCACGCATGATCGAATGTTCTTGCTTATCAAATTTGTATAAGCGGATTTGTGGATTTGCTTTTTCATGCCACGTTGCAAAATGACTTTCAGCCTACTTTTTTGGGATTTGCTAAACCCGCGCATCTCACACGATGATCTAATCGAGTGGCTACATTTTTGGCTGAATAGTTTTATTAAAGCTCTTTATTTATTTCTTTTATTAATTTTTGATAATATTTTAACCCAAAAAATTTATTTCTTTTATTAATTTTTGATAATATTTTAACCCAAAAAATTTGCAGATTTTAATCGGGCTCTAGTTTCTTCATCATCGTCAGCATTGTACACATGGCCATTTAGCAGATTGAACCAGTCTTGTGTTGTTACATGATTTCACCTTCGTCAACATTAATTAATCATTCACTTTTTTGTCTGCCCTCACTTCTTTGCTGTTTTTATTATTGTCTCCGTCATCACAATGACTTCCATTATTTTGATTGCCATCATCGTTAAGTTTGTTATCATTGCTATCATTGTTATCACCGGCGTGTTGAGCACTTCTACAAACATCTTAAAATCATGATGAATTTGAAATGTCACATCAGATCCAAATCACACAACTAAATAATTGTAATAACACAGCCGAGCGTTGTCAATCAATTTTGTTGGTTTTTAAATTTGAACTACGCTAGTTGTCAGCCTGGATAATAAAAATTCATCCACCCCTACGGCCTCCATATGAGTTATTTCCAAAAACATTTAAAGTTTTGGTACTATGATTTGTTTTGTGCATCTAAGATTTAATTATTACCAGTGTTACTTTTGTAACCATCGTCATATCCACCGTTCTTGTAGTCATTTTTATTTTTGTACACTAAATTATGTGACAAATCATTCACAAACATTTCAATACAACTAACAAATAACATTTGTAAAATTTTCAACGTCTTCTGTTTTTTAAGACATTAAACGCCCAACTAAAGTTTGTCACGCTTCGGCAAAGGATATTAAAAGCGAGGTAAAAAATTGTTGACTACGACTGATTGACGATCACTCCAATTGCATCATGTAACTAAGAGGATTATTCCATCTCAGTACTTTCGAAATTTAAATCTTCTCCAATTTGGGAAGAGAAGATTTTCCGTATCAGCTGTCCAAATTTGGAATGGTTTGCCTGTTGGATTTAAAATATTTGACACTGCTAGTAACAACAACTTCAAAAGTGTACACAATTGCCGCCATTAAATAAAATGAAGAGAGCACCTGCTGGATAAACGCCGTTCAGCTCGACAATCAAATATATAAATAATATTTTTGCATTCCTAACCTGTTTTGTGATTTTGTGTTTTTCATATTTTGCCTGCAATTTCAATTTGATGTGTACTTTCACTACAAACACACTTCTGCCAGTATTTATTCCGCTTCGCATCTGCATTTTAGACACCATTTTATTCAACACATAATTCAAAAACCAGGCCTGTCTGACGGACTCAGAAATATTCGCCACGTTATTTGCCGCAATCATCCACGACTACGAACACACGGGCACAACCAACTCCTACCACGTCAACACCGAGTTAGTCACTATTTGCTGCCTCTGTAGTCTATACCAACTCATTATTAATGGAAAGTTGATTGAATGGATGAACGAAAAACAAAAAGTTGATTAAAAATTTACATGATAAAAAATGTATTAGCAGACGAGAAAATGATTGAATAAATGACAAATGCAAATTTATGATTGGGCGCATGGAAGGAATATCAAAAGTATAATGCATCGCCGAAAGAATATTCGCCTGAAACGTGAGCAAACATTGCGAAACAGAATTATTATCTGTAAATGAATGAAAAACAAATGAATATTTACATAACGTTGATTCATTCGTCGTCGTTCATTCATTCACTTTTCAACCTTCCCTCATTCGTCAGTTGCTCACCAACTTAACGGTCGTTCATTCTTTATTCATTTTGTGCGTTACCAAATTGTTGAAATTTTTATTTTGGAAATGAACGCAACGTGTCTAACTAAGCAACAATACGAAACTTCAACGCATGTGTTTAAATCAGTCGCCATTGTATCATTAGATCGGCGTTAAAATTGAAGAAATTTTCAAATACAAGCAAATATTTATCATGATTTAATTTAATTTTTTGCAATTACCTGACTCACAACACAATCCAACACCTCACAACATTTTACAATACTTCACAACACCTCACACCACACCACACCACATCAAATGACACGACACCATAGAACACAACAGAACAAAACATGGCAGGTCAGACCTGGCTCTCCTGTATAACGACAGAGCTGTCCTCGAAAACTTTCACGTCAGCCAGGTCTTCAGGAAGATGAAGGAGAACAAAACCATCAACGTCGTTGCCAACATGGATAAGAATGAATTCAGGTGTGTGGTTGGTGTGGTTGGTTTCGGAGCGTTTGCGGTTAGTGTTGGAGCGTTTGTGGTTGGTGTTAGAGCGTTGGTGGTTGGTTTCGGAGCGTTTGCTGTTGTGAGTCTATGGACATTATGTAGCTATGTTGTCAGGGAATGTGTCATAAACGAATGCAACGAATTGATTGGTGGATTGATAGATAGATGGATGGATATTGATAAAGGGATGGATGGATGTAGTATATTGGTAATGATTTGATGATATGATTTTTAAATAATTAGACTTTAAATAAGATACTAAACTTTTTATGATGAAATTTTTAAAAAGCTTTCAAACTTATTAAACCTTAATAATAATAATTATAATTGTAATAATGATAGATTAAAACAACAACAAAAACATTTCGGTTTGTGATTGGTTTAAAAATTGTTACACAAAAAATATATTATATATAAATTACTATAGTCATCACGGCATCAACGTCACTCAGTGTCACCATGAATGACGTCATTGTCATTATTATTTCCGCCAGCAACCGATTGCGCCGAACGATAAATATAAATATTTATTTTTTTTGGCAAATAAAAATAAAATAAATAATCTTAAATTAGCCAAAATTATTCCAATTTGGTTATAATGGAGAGAATGTTTACGAGTTATGAAATAGTGTTTGAGTGTAATGGTTTAAAAGTCATTTATTGAATTCACTTCTCGCATGCATCATTTACTTATTTTCAATATTTAACGTGAGTTAAAGCGACAATTGCATCGCGATAGTTATGTAATAAGTGAATATTTTAAATAAAGTGAACAAATATAATATAAATGGTGTAAAGTGAGTATATATATCACAATACATATTAAATATAGAAATATAGATATATATTAGCAATGTAAATTTGATTGTGTTAACTAAAATCACGACGAAAGATTATGATTTCATCACTGCTGTTGTCAACGCCTCGTCACAACTTCATCGCAGTCGTCACGGTCGTATGGCGCAACAAAACTGCAGCGTATAGTGTGGTATCTGGTATGGTATTGTGTAGCAGTGAAGGAAAGATATGCGAGAGATCTCCAGGCTTTGCTGATCTTTATCGAATGCTGTCAAGAAGATCAGAAACTAAATTTATCAACTCTATCATATCTACAGCCGCGGACACAAAACTATCATCGCCATCGTCACCACCACGATCAACATCCTCATCGTTTACGTCACCATCATCATCACCACCATCGTCACTTTTTTCATCATCATCACTTTTTCATCATCATCATCATCACTTTTTTCATCATCATCTTCATCCTCACTTCATCGCAGTGAGTTCCGCATAAACGTTATAGAGATCGTCCTGGCAACTGACATGTCCAACCACTTCTCCCTCCTCAAGAACTTGCAAGCGGCCATGACGCAACCTGATTCGTTAGCAACTCTCACCGCAGAAGATACTTTCTAAAAAATAATTTTCAATATATTAAAATTTAATTTTCACTTGGGAAATTTTAAACTTTTCTAATAGCAAAAACTGTTCCTCAAAAGATTCAATTAACAACTTTCAATGGTGCACTTTTGTGATTTATTTTGTACAGTAAATAAAAAAAAGCAAAACATAGAGAATGATAATAATTAGTTGATTGTTCGACAACAACAGACTGACGATGCTGCAGTACTTGTGTGCGTTGGTTCACTTCGCAGACATCAGTCATCCCTCGAAGCCCTGGGAGATACACACGCAGTGGACCACCAGACTTTTTGACGAATTTTTTGTACAGGTATTTTTTTTGGTTATTTCAATTCTTGGTTTTTTCAAATTCCTGGTAACTTCAGTGATCATTATTATTTGTTTCGAATCTACTGAATCGTTTTGTTTACAACACCGCATCAATTTGGTTTCACATTTTATTTTAACACAACTCCAGCCAAACCAACTCAAGTCTAGATCACTCTGTTTTTGTTCTTTCAATATGATTATTATACCGAATTTGCTTTTATTTGCACTTGTTTAAAAACTCTCTCATCATTTTCTTTCATTGACATTTCCACACGCATGCGATGTTAAGAGTGAGTCTCAAGGTTTAGCTTTTTGCAAAGTTCATTGAAAAGCGCTGTTGCTTTTTATTACAATGATGCTTTCAAAATTGAATTGTTTAATGGAATAAATAGAATAATGAAGAAAAAACAATTAATGACAAAAACAAACTTGATGTTTTTCATTCGATAGTTTCACACATTTTTTATTATCAGTTATTTCAACCTGAAACACATTTCACTTATGTTGCAAGCAGAATCTTTAAGAACCATTTTATAGTGCTGTAAAAATGTAATATGTTATTGGCATTGAAAAAGGTCGGTGGTTGATGTATTTCGCACGATTGTGACATCCCAATAGAGGATATCGAAGGTTTTTGTTATAAGAACATTCATGTAAGTCGATGTGTCGCAAGTTTTGTTTTATTGCCTTGCATGAAAAGGACTTTTGCGAATTGCAGTTTAATGTTTGCCTTCACTGCTGAATCTCAATGTTTCTCTCTATGACTTTTGTTTATATTCTCTGTTTTTTATGGTTGTGTATATATTTATGGTTGAGTTTGTTTACATTCATATTGCTACAATGTTTAAATTTAGAAAATAGATTATACACTGGTGTCTTTGTTTGTGTCTTAGCTCACGACTCCATTCACGTCTGGGTTAAATTAAATTTTTTCTTTTTCTTAAAACGATAGGTGTTGATGTGTTTGTGAATTGTTGATGCTTTCGTGGTTTTATTTTAATTGATAAATTGTAATAAATTATAATTTTAAATTATAATTAAATTAAATTTATTTTTTAATACAAAAATTTTATAAACATCAAATTAATTTTCAGCATTAATTTTTGAAATGCTCTTCATTCTATTTCGTCACGTTTGAACCGTATTTATGCCAAGATAAACTGTTCTAAAAATTCTCGCGGTTATAAATTCTATAGGTGTGCAGCATGCATCCTCTAGATGACATTTTAAATGTAATGCTGATTCAGTCCATGAATTTATTACCAGAGCTTCATTGTGTTGTGGTTTACGTGTGGTTAACGTGTGCAGACTGAAATATTTTTACACTAGAATAAATCGTGAAAATTGAAGAAACACCAGCATACCATTTATAAACCGTTCCAAAAAAGTGTTGTACGCATGAACGCCTGCGAATCAGCCACGCGTGTGACGCTGCATAAATGTTTATGTCATCATCGTTACTGTCATTACTGTTGTTATTGTTGTTCTTTATGTTACGTAAATTTTTGTTCATGTCATCATCGTTAATGTCATTAGTGCAGTTGTTGTTGTTGCTTATGTTATACAAATTTATGTGTCGTTATTCTTATTCTAATTAGCGTTGTTTATATATAAATCGTTTATGTCACCATAATTATTTTATTACTCTGCTCGGTGTTGTGGTTTACACTTCCATATAAGAAGAATAAAATAATTTTGTGATTATTTAAAGTGTCGTTTGCGATTTTGTCTGCAGATGTGTACGGTGTTTTTGTTATTTATTTTTTTCATCTTCGTTTTGTGATTAACCCATTTTTCGATTCATTAAAATACATTTAAAATTATATTCGATTTGAATGGCCTTGATCAAAACATTTTCCATCATTCAACATTACAACTGAGCCAACGTACTAATCACTAAATGGAAAACTGTTGAGGGGCAAGTGAATAAAAAAAGTTGATTTCTCCCACGCAGCTGACCGGGCGGGTTGTTATATTTTATGACCAAAGTAATCACAATGAAACCTCCGCCCAATGGTCCCCACGATTCATTATCTCATTGATTGCATGCATTATTTATTGAACATTTTGAAGAACAAACGAGTAACGGTTTCAAAGTAGTGTGCGTGTGTGTGCGTGTGTTGTATGTGTCAGTGCGTATTGAGTGTGTGCGTGTGTGTCTGTGTGTGCGGTGTTATCATTTTCAATTAAATAAACAAACAACGCTCTTAAGTTGCTGTGGAATGTTTATTTGTGAGATTTAATTTAAGATGAAAAAGTTAATGAAAATAATAATAGTTTGTAATTTTTTCTGAAAAAAATATTACCGTAGGATTTGTAATGCAAAAGATTAACCATTACATGCAGTGCAGAGAACTTAGATATAATTTATTCTACAGTTATTTTTAAAACATTTCACTTGAAGCGCCTGTTACCACGATTCACCTCATCGCATTGAACATTTTTAATTTTCTTCCTTCTGAAAATATTTCTTCTTGCGGCTAAATTGTTTCCCCAACCATGATGTATTTTGAAGTCGAATGCAAATTATTTTCAAACCAAATTAAGTAGGAAATCATACCCCAAGGCAATTTTTTAAATTATGCAAAAATTCTATTTTAAAATTGACAAAAATAGATGTTAAGCAAACAAAACGAAAAAAAGGGGTTTTGAATTGTTTGTGACTCAGTATATATAAATCAAAATTCCATTAAAAAAATTTTTTTATAATTTTTTTGACATTTAAAAAGTTGTAATAATTAAACTTAAGATTTTTTTGTGTTGATAGAAGATAAATATGTAGTTATTTTAAATACAAAAAAGCCAATCTGCTTCGTATTCTTTGGACAAATATGGAAAAGAGCGCTGAACTCACTAATGGAAAAGTTCTTGGGAAAGCTAATGCATGCCAACATATGAGTGAGGTTCACGTTGTCATTCGTCGTTCATTGAGTCACGTGTTTTCCACCACAATCCTTTCACATTTGCATTAGCTGGCTTGCTCCCTCACACTGCCTTCTACATGTCTGATTTCATTATACATACAAATATAAACCTGACATACGATCATTTATTTTCATTGCTACAAAACAGACGAATGCTATGAAAGTTTCATAAGAGATAGAAGTTCTTCAAATTTTTTCTTCTTACTAACTTGATAATTTTTTCCGTCGTTGTCATTTGTTGCCAGCATCAAAATAAACATTATTAACAAAAACACAAACAACGCTACAAACTACTCAACGACAAAACAACATCAACAACATTGCGAAAACACAAACATCACAATAACAAAACAACTGCAAGCAGCAACAAACAATACAAACAACAACAACAACGACAATATACAGGGAGACCGTGAGAAGCAGATGAAGATACCTGTCTCACCTCTCTGCGATCGCAACAACACCATGCTACCTGCATCACAGATTGGTCAATTGATTTATTTCTTCTCACATATAGGTACATTCACACACACACATAAACAAGAAAGCAAACATAGCACATAAGAACAAACATACATACACACATACACGTAAGTACTACACATGTTATAAATAAGATTTGATCTTTATTAACGCGTTCTACTATAATTATTTTAGATAATTATCTATCAGATTTTTTCAACATAGGTTAATGTTATTAAATTAGTATATGTATATATAAATATATATTTATTTATATATTATATATAATATTTAATATAATAAAATAAACATACACATGTTGCCGTATATATATTCAATGCATGCGTTCTGCGTATAATGTCTGTTGATTGTTTGTTTAATGGATTGTTCCAACTATTTCCCGATTAAAATGTTGAATGAACAAAAAATATATCTACTTACTTGGGACAACACACTCTTCCTTTGCAGAATTTAATGCGTGCATTTCGTTACTTCAGATTTTCAGTGCAACGGTATTCCAGATGAGGTTTGGTTCTTTCCAGCGTTCCAGTGTTTCAGTTCTAAACCTTTCACTGAGTTGTTTGTTTTTTAAACTTCTTACTGATTCTCTTCGAAATACTTAACTGCTTACAAATCGTTCTTTACATAGTTACATTAAGTTTTATAAAGACTGTTACTTAACAGTGTGTTTTTATTTAGCGCTCTGTTGTGCATTGTTGTTGTTAAGTTACAAGATTGCGACAAAATTTGGATTGAGAAACTTCGTTTTAGTTATATGTGAATTTTTTACAAAAGGGGGGTTTGTTGACATTTGTAAAATTATACTTCAAAATTAAACGAATGACACGCTTTTTACAAATAAATTTAAAGGATGCTCTTGAGAGATAACTTGAACGCGATTAAGTTGGATCAATTTCGTACACTCGGCAAACATGACGATATTAGAGACAACACTGCTCGTTAACAAACCAGAAATTATAACAACCGATGGCGATAATAATTATTGTACGTTAATCTAGAGAACAGTTTGAACAACTATCTTACTGAAAAGCAAGAACAGAATTCCAATAAAGACATTGAATCTCTGGAGCAACATAAATAGACAACTTTTATTACAATTGTTATACTAAAAATATTTTCCCAGTGATAAAACACTTTTGTCAAAGTCATTGTTCGAATCTAAGGAACGACTTGAAATTTTTCAGGAAAAAATTTTACCACGTCAGCAAAGTAACAAAGTGTGGGCATGGGTGTTACTGAACATTTGAAAATAATTAATGTTAATTCAGTTTCCTGCTACCCCAAGTTAAAAAAACGATGCCAGACACGGACACAGACGCCTAGCCATCCACTTCATTGAGCCCCTTGGGCAGTCTTTGAACTTCGGAAAGGCAGTGTATTTGAACATCGCTCAAAAAACAGCATCTTGTTTTTAACACCAGGACTCTTCTTCCAGCCAGGTTTCGCCGTTCTTGTAACAGCGATAACTTTTTTAAAATTTGAGCATCTCTCGCCTGTTGTTTGTAAAGTTACTAGTATTGTTTCAGTTTACGAAAGACTAATTAGATTGAATTAGTAACTACAAGTCCGCGGAATACAATTTATTGTAGAATTGAACGTATTCATGCGATGATTTGGTTTATTTACAGTTTAATAAGAAAAAGCTTTTGCATTTGAACGGCTAGAGTAACGTAAGAAAGTTAAACGCGTTACTATTTGTTATATTAGTTTATTGAAAATAAATTTTTTTTTAATTTTTTAAACTTTACTGCAGTTACTTTACATTACTGTCAAACATTAAGACTGTAGTGTTGAAAGATTTTGAAGTTAAAGTTTGTAGGAGTGATGCTATCAATTTTTTTAAATGATTGGGAAATATATTGTTATATCATTAAACAAAACCAAACCAACATTTAATAAAAAATGAAAAACATCTGAGATGAGATTAAAACACAAAAATCTTAAAAACGCAATTGCGTGTCTGGTTGCAATGGTTCAGGTTTCGTTCGTGTTTCTTCGGTGCCTCTTTATCATTCTATTTTTTTCACAACCGGATATAATACATTTTTAAATTCTTCACGTTTCCGACCAACAAAATATTTCGTTGTTTAACTTGTACCTGGTTAATCTGGCATAGATTTATAGAATTTTGTCGAACGCATTAGCGAAATGTTCTACTTGCAATGGGCGGTGAATAATGTGCAATCTACATTAATGCCATTTATTGCAGACGTCGAGTTAGCACAGCACAATTTATAGTTGCGTATTAAATACATTTGTTTACTATTATTTCAGTTGTTCATTTTCTATGGAATGATTTTCCCATTTATACGAGTCTATGGTAAGTTTTCTTAAAGTTTTTTCAGAAAAATATTGAAAATAGATTTATCGCTTGTGATTTTGAAATAAAATTTTTTTCCCTGACCTATGGACGTGCAGGTTTTTTGGACTACATCGTGATACCGACAGTGAATCTTATATTTGACGTCATTCCCATCGCAGTCAAAACCAGACTCGATAAAATGCCCGAGAATAATCTACAAATGAGTTCCTGGAAGATTGAAATGAGTATGTTGTTGTTGATGGGCGTTGTTGTGTGCTGTTAGATGTTGCTTGGCGTTGTTAGGTGTTTTTGTGTGTTGTTGTGTATTGGAGGTATGTTGTCGTCTAATATCACGTCGTTGTCTTTGGATTTACGTTATTGCATTCTTGTTGTTTTCAAGTTGAATGAATCAGTAATTATTTAATGGATGTTGATAAAATAAAATTTGCACTATGTATATATTATTCGTTTTGTTAAAAACTTTAATGCGACTTCAAATTTTGAATTTTTTAAATATTTTTGTGTTAAACTTTAATATGCGGAACACCTTTACAAATTTGTTGTAAAAAAGTCGATGCTGAAAATTTTTAGTGCCCAAATGATTAATCTTTCAACGAAGTTTGTCAGTGCAATTGTTTTTTAAGCAAAATATTTGTGTAACTTCACGATCAAATCATTTTAAAATTTTCTGTGAGATAGCATTATTTCATATTCAAAAATGAGGCCTAAAACTTCAAATTGTAATGAAATCATTAATTATTCAAGTCAAATTTTAATAAAATTTATATAAAAACATGAATTTAGCACCTAACTTAACAGCGAAATTTTTATTTCGTTTATAACAAGAAGACTCATTAAATTTGTATAACGTTTAATTTTAAATTTTTCAATTTCCTCATTTTCAAATTTAAAGTTATTTCATATTTTGATAAGTTCAGTTAACTTATGGCTTGGTTATTATTTGTTAACAATAATTTGAATTCATCGTTTCAAATATGTAAATTTTTTTTCACACAACCATTTAAAGACGCACATTGCAGACACAGTTAGGCATGAATAACTTGAATTTCTACATTACAAGCCACCCGGCAGGCCACAAATGTTTATTTATTGAGTCAATTTAACTGACAAACCAACGAAAAGTTCTTCTTTCACAATATGAGCAAATATTTTTCTATTTATGCAAATGCTTATTTCAAGACAGAAATATTTTTCTGTGTGTGATGATGAATGAATGAATTTATTTTACCATTTTGTTTATTACCACATTTATTTTTATTTTTTTAGCACGGTTGACGGAGAAAGGTATTTTTGTTTTTCCTTCTTCTCATATATTCACTTAATTAAAATTTATTACTAAATATTTGCTTGCGTTTGTATATTCAAACAGCAATAACCAAAAAGAGTGAATAGATATATTAGCACGACAATTAATATCACCCCCATCATCATCACTATCATCATTTTAATCATCATCATCACCTGAAAAACATATCGTCATCATAATTTCGCGGTTTCTTTTAAAACACTCTCCTAAGTCGTCATATTTCTCTAGTGTTCCATCCTCTTTCAAATCAAAACATAGGCTTTTTTATGAGAGATATAAAATGTTTCGAAAAGTTGAAAGCATAGTGATGATATGATATGATAAGATATGATAAAATTTGATGAGATCAATAACAATGACGTTTGACGGAATGTTTCAGAGGCCACAAAAACCATGAAGACAGGAATTTTGTACCTAACATCAATCAATAGATCCAAGTGGGTTGAAGAGGTTGGTTGGCCGGTTGGCTGGTTGGTTGGTAGGCTGGTTTTTGGTTGGTTAGCTGGTTGGTTGTCTAGCTTGTTGGCTGATTGATTAGCTGGTTTGTTGACTGGATGTTAGATTATTTGTCCAACTTATTTTCTAATTTGTTGGCTGGTTAGTTCAAGTAATTGGTTAGTTGGTTTGTTCACTTATTAATTGATCGGTGAGCCAACTGTCTGTCTTCCTTTCTAACTAGTAGTTGTTTGTTATTTTTAAACAAATTAAATGCGTAATTACTTTTAAATTAGCAAATAAATTATTTTGATGACGACAGAGCGGCAGGCAAGAAATCACGAAAAAAGTCAAATAAATACTTCAACCTACAACTCACTTTCACTTGGGAATCCTCTATCATAGCCATATATAATTAATTAATTCATATTTGTTTGGTGTTTTTTAATTCTTTATTAGTATGTTTATAATCATTAACATTCAAATACATATATATATATATATATATATATATATATATATATATATTTATATTTATATATATACAGTATTGTAGGAATTCTACGGAATTGTTGGCATTTATCAATTTAAAGTTTGTTTTTTCAATTTTCAATAAATTGAACAATTTCTAGAAAATCCTTTCCAAAAATTCAGTAGAATTCATTTAATACTGTATATATATACATGTTTTTTTCATTATATACATAAATAACAATGTTACTTATCGTTTAATCACTTTTGTTTACAAAGACATAGAACTTACTTGAATAAGTCAGTAAATTGGAATTTATTTTGCTCGCTCAATGATATAATTTGTCAACTGTTAAATTTTATCATTCCCACAAAAAACCATCTAACACTTGACTTCAATTAGTCAATTTGTCATATCATCAACTCCATTGTTACTTATTCAATCTTTGAACTATTTTGTTCATATAATTATTCACACACACGCACACACACTACACACGCACACACACACACACGCATGCACACATCACACGCACACAACACACACACACACATACATACATTTTCCCCACTTGAGTATATTTCAATATTTATCCCTCCATAATTGGTTTATCGTTCTTTACATTTAGAATAAAATAATAATTTAACAAAGGAATAATCAGATAATAAAAATGACATTCGATCTCAATTTTCAACTCAATATTTTCACGATTCATTTTGACGTCATAAGTAATTTTATATCCATAGCATTGTCGGAATATTTTCATTATTTTAAAATAAATATAAACGTTCATCCAGACTGAAATATTTATTGAATGAAAATGTACTTAATGAATATACTGTGAAATAATTTTTATATTTTATTGAATGTAAATTAAATTTATCTGGTAATAAATAAGTTACGACAATCTTAGTTTCAAATATAAATTGATATTGTTAATGATTTTTAAATATTTTATTTACACAATTTAACTATCAAAACGGTAAGAAGTTTTGTTGGACTTGGAAAAAAAATATTCAAAAAGTTTGCGTAGGTTGATTTCGTTAGAAGTGGTTAATTAAATGATAAGCTAGCTATTTAGTTATATCGCCATCACCACAAATTTTGTAGTCTCTGTCTTCATCTTTTTTAACCTTCTAAAAAATCATAAATACCATCGGTAACAAAATAATTATTTTTACCATTAAAAAATACATAAAATTATTTCCCACAATCAGCTTCACTACAATATTGTATTAATTCTGTATTCCCGTTGTCACCAGCAAACTGAAGATGACGGTTGTTGTGGTTGTCGTCGTCTGCGGTTTGTAACCGCGCCCACGTTCGTCCTTATGTTAGCCGTGTTGTTTTCAAAATTGAGATGAAAAGTTTGTTGTCGGTGACGTATGTTTTTTGCCGTGTTGTTTTTTTTGTTGACGTATTAACTGGTGAATGGCATATTTTAATGATGACAATTCTGATGGCGTGAACAATTCTATATGAGCGATAACCTGAAATTCTTAAGTTTTTCAAACAACATCACGTTAAGTAAAATTATAAATAACACGGTTGAAACCGATTTTAAGCCGATGTAACATGTTTTTCTTTAGTTTCAGCGGTTGCACTTCAAATCTTCAGACCATTTGTTTTGGATGTGTGGCTATGTAGGTTTCACAGTAGGTTACTATAACGTTTGGCTATCAGGCAATGTTTCATTGTTATTAATGTTTTTTGTTTTACGCAACGATCAAAATATTTTTTTGCATGTGTAATTTTTATGAACATAATTGTTGTTCCCGTCATAAGTTTCACCTGGAAAGTAAACATCGTGGGGTGACGATTGGTTGTCTTCTTCGTTGATGATGAATGACTGTCGAGATTGAAAATGAATGGAGAACACATTAGATTTTATTTCATCGTCATTATTATTATAATTATTAATACAATTATTATTATTGTTGGTGCAGTTTGATTTGTTTTTATTTTTACGCTTAGTACAATTCTTATTTTTATTTTTGTAGTTATTTTGCGTCGGCGATTTTGCTTTTTTGAGATTGAAAATAATTTTCTCAATAACACGCGAGCATGAGCCGCTGATTGACGCCGATGCTTTTGAGATTGATTGGAGCTGGGAGGTGGAAGGAACATCACTCTTCAGCGAGGCAAACTCAGTGGCGTGCTCCGAATTCATCCCAGCGCAAGAACTCTTTCTTCCTTTGTTGGGGTGGTTGTTGTTGTTGGTTTGACGGGTGCAATTGTAGCATTTCATCTCGCTGCTTATGTGGCCCACGTGAATGTTAGGAGGGCAGTCGAATGTCTGACCACCACACTTGTCTCTAGAGATCTTTGGCACTGCATTAAGAAGCGTTATGTTATTCCTTAAATCATATTTATTTTTATGTTAAAACGGGGTTAATTTTCCATGAGAAATTGAGAATTTTTGTTTTCCTGAGAACGATTTTGTAATTATTTTTTGATAAATAAATAACAGACAACAAATGAATAAATGAAAAGCATATTGTTTGTTAGACATCTCTCATCACTATGCATGTACTAAAATTATTTTAAAATTAATGTTTCCACTCAACATTTAGTCATTTTCAAAACAAACTAGCTCACCCGGCCTATTTTTTAATGTCTTAAAAATAATAGACGTTGTGATAAAGCAAACAAAACAAAATTTTTAAATTGAAAAAAAAATTGAAAATCAAATTTACATTCATAAGATGTCATTTTTTTTAAATTTTCATGTTGACAGAATCTTTTTTGAAAAACATTTTCATTAATTTGTTTTTGTTTACTTGAAGAGACATTTTTCAAATTATTTTATTATATTTTAGTTTATTTATTTGATATCAAACTGACGTTATACTAAATAACTAATTACATTAAACTATTAATTATACTAAATTAACCAAACAATTCTTAATCGCTTGCAAACTCAACAAAAATTAATTTTTGAGATTTAACACGAGTCAAATAAAAATCTACAAAGAAGGACTTAAGCCAATCAAAGTTGCTCCCTAAGAAAAAGTAAACAATTAAAAATTCACTTTTATCACATTTTAAAAATTTTTAATTGATAAAAATTATTTAAAAAAATTCGACAATTTAAACCTTGCACTCCATGATGTTTTTTGCAAACACAACTATTATCCATTATTCCACGTATGACATCACAGCCAACTACTTCCTTTTCTTCTTCCGCCTCTTCGTCATCATCATCATCATCATCGTCGTCATCGTCATCGTCGTCATCGTCGTCATCGTCTTCCTCTGGACAACTGAACATAAGCCTGGAGAGCATGAGTGCAGTATCGCAAGCCTGTGTCTTGTACTTGTCGAGGTAGAGTGTGAAGAGGAGTGGGAGAAGGAGTGAGGACATGCGAGCCACCAGGAAGAAGGATTGAATCATGAGGTGCGACAGTTTGAAGGCTGCGAAGTGCAGACCTGTCACGATCTGAGTGGTCGGACGTTTGAAGATGAATCAGGAAATAATCTTAAGGTTCATTCGACAGATTGAACTAGAAACACAATTTGCTCAAAAGCTACAAAATGTGTGTGCGTTCAATTAAAATTTATATAAATGAAAACATTAAACACCTAATAACATTTGAATATCTAAATAAATTTTCTCAAGTTAATCCATTAATATTTTATAGAAAATTAAAATTTCTTCAAAAACTTACGAGAACTGGAGTCCAGAACAAGCAGTGAATGAGTGAGAACAAGATGACAGCCAGGTATGGAAAGCCACTGCAGACGATGCTATTCATGTCAGTGCGTAGGGATTGAAATATGTTTGCGTTTGATCTGCTAAATATTTTGTAGCGCAGACTGGCTACAAAAAGCGCCGACATTGATAAGAGAAAAAGAAGACACGCTAGGACGTTCAACATGACACAAGACCAAAACGTTAGCGAGTCTACCAAGTTATGGCCTGGTTGAACCAGCTTCACATAACATGACACCGACTCTTCATTTCTTGTCTCAATGTTATTGTACTCATCAATGTTGTCGTCTTTGTCTATATTGAGGATGTCGCTAGTGAAGCTGGCGCTAAAGTTTTTAAAGTTGTTGACGTTGATGTTGACGTCATCACTGCTGCTACTACCACTATCGTTGTGGCTATTGTGGCTATCAAGATTGAGACCATCATCATTTCTGTAGCTTTCGTCTTTAGTAGCTGCAATAAAATTGTTGTAAATGAGATTTATATTGTCGAAGTTGTTGACGACTTGGATGTCTCTGTTGTTGTAATTGTTGTCAAAGTAGTTGTCGTGTATGTATTTATAATTTGTTAGTATTATGTTGTTGTTATCGCTGTCTGTAAATCTTTTGAAGTTACTTAGGTCATTGTCGACAGAGTTGTCTTTGAAACTATCAAGTTCGTTGCCGTTTATGTCATTGTATTTGTTGCTGTTGTTGTTGTTATCTCTGTTGTTGTTGTTTTTGTTGTTGTTGTTGTCGTTTTCATTTTCATTTTTAAACAAAAAACCTTCACCGTTGATGTTGTGGTTTTCAGATCTGTTATCGTAAACCTCCTGAATATAATTGCTGATGTCGTTCGAATTGACATGGACGTTGTTAATGTTATCTATAATATCCTCGCTGGTCAGAGCGCCTGCATAAATGTGTTTGCTGTTGATGTCGGTGGAGTCCGCAGTTTCATTAATGTCGTTTAAATGTGAATTGTTGTTGTCAGCGCTGACGTCATTGAATGGCACGTAGTTGCTGCCGCTGCTGCTACTGCTACTGCTGCCCTTCTGTATGTTGTTGGCGCTTTTCATCGTTTCGTACGATAGAAAATTTTGAACGTACAGCTCGTCAAAGTAATCGCGGTAGTAGTAGTTAACGGAATGCAACGTCATCAACGGAAGAAGAATGGCTGCGTTTGCCAAAATAACCATCACGTGACTTGTAACGCGCCATTTTATTTTGCTGACGTCACGGTTGCAAACTGATCGATTTGTGATCTTTGTACAGGTGATGGATGTTTGTGGTGAAAACAACGTGGAAAACGCCGAAGATGACGACGACGATGATGACGACGATGATGATGACGATGATGATGATGACGATGATGAATTTGAAAAAGTTTTGAATGGCTGATGATTGCTTTGGTGTATCTGATCAGTTTCTTGTAATTCTTTTTTTCTCTCTTTTAATGAAAATAAAATTTTTCAATGACTAACGTTTTTTCGAAATTAATTTTAAGTCATTAATTTTGCTTTTTGTATTTTAAATTAGTTGTGACTACTCGGTGTTCTTCAGTTATTACAACAATTAGCTGCTTACTTCATTTTATTATTTCAATATTTAATCAACCATTCTTCAAACAAAATAAAACTAGAATTAAAAATCCGGTTGCGTCACTAAGCACTCGGCAGCATCCGACATCAATTCCACATCGAGCCAGCACGATATCAATGCAACACCATTCGAACCTCATTTCAAAATCTAACCTCTCAATGACCTCCTGACATTGACAAATACGAAGGTCAAATTGATGACAAGGAAGAGGTTGGCAAGGAGAACGAGGGTGGCGTTTACGAACTGTGGGACCATCGTCACAAACTGGTACAACGCGCATGCACGCTTGCCAGCCAGAGACGTCAGATCGTGGTAGCGCAACGTCAGCAGTAGAAAGAGGATGATGGAGGAAGACGCAAACTCCGTCATACTCGAGTAAAATGCCATGATGTTGACGATGCGATCGTTGAAGATTTCACGATTTTTTATTTTCCTCATCAAAGTTGAAAGAGATGACGACGACGACGACGATGCGGATGACGATAATGTCATTCGGTTCATGATTGATTTTGTTTCGTTGCTTTTTTCAATATTGAATGATTTTTGTTTGATGTTCAACGTGAAGATGGGATATTTTCTTTTTGTCGCCAGGTTGCAGACGTTTTTCGTGCTTTTTGAACGGAAAAAAATGATAACTGGAAAGAGATTTGAGAGTGCTAAAAATATATGGACGAGTATTTGCACAGGAAAGGGAGTGTCGTGATGATCCATACTTGTGTCGTCTGATGTGTACATGAGGTTCCAATTTGGGCTCTCTATCATTCTTTAATCAGCAAGCTTGCATCTGCTCTCTGCGGATCGGTGAAATTATTTGCTTGAATATAAATTTTGTCACGCAGCGTTTTGAAATATTTTGAAAAAGAAATCTTTCTTTTTGAAAAAAATTGTGTAGTGTTTGTTTTGCATTTTTTAAAAGTTACATTGTATATTTGTTGAACATTACTATATTTTTTTAAATTGAAATGTAATCTCGATCATTTTTCCAAGTTTTTAAAGAATTTAAAATTTGAAGGTACTTATTTTGACAACTCATCATTTGGTCTGCAAATTGTTTTATTATAAAAGATGGCCCTCTGTTGGTTTGACAATTTTGTACGCTGTTGTCATTATTGAACTTTACAAATAACTAATGAACAAACCGTCTTATGTTATATATATATATATATATATAGAGAGAGAGAGAGAGATGAATGAATGATTGAATAAATAAATGAACAAATTGGTAAAAGATGAATAAATGAATGGACGAACGAACAAACGAATGAATAGCTAAATGCAATGTAGCAGTAGGATTATTTACATCTTATTAGGAAATGACTTAGGGGGAATGATGCATGTTGTTACGGTTGAATGCGTTCTCAGACATTCAATCACGGTGGTAATGCTTGCGGCAGAAGAGGTGCATGTTACAACTCTTCCTCTCTCTCTCAATTTGTCCATCCATGTAACGGGTCGTCAGTTGCGGACGATGACGTTGCAATTCTTTTATTTCATTTTCACTTTCAAAATTCTATCTTATGTTTTTGAAGACTTTATATAATTAAATTATATATTTATAACAAAAAATTTTAATTTAGTTTATTCTCGCTATATTTATTGCTATAGGATTATTTCAGTTATATAAAATAAATTTAAAATAAATAAAATTTTTCATCAAGTTGGTTGAAAAATTTATCACCTAAATGTAAAAACTTAAATGTTGGATTCTTTTTTTCTTTCAATCTATGAATCTAATGGACATAATAGCGGCGAAATGTAACCAAACATTTAGTTTCGAATGACGTTCGTTCGTTCTTTTATCTGAAATGTAATTAATAACGTCGGCTTTCCGTTGTTTGGAGAAATAATTTTTTGTTGACTGAACGTGAGCTAAAAATTCAGAAGCCTGGTGATATAGAGGGATAGAGAAACGTGTATGTGAATGTTTCATCATATCAAAAAATAAATGTCACATTTTGTTTAAATGAAGTTTTTTAATTTTTAATGTAGTTCAAGTATTCGTTACTGATTTACATTGATTTAATTTCTAAAATTATCAACATGGTTTGCAATCTCGGATGATAATAATTTTATATTCAAAATTTTCTTCAAACAAAGTTAAATTTTTTTGTTAACTTATTTTTAAACATTTATAGACTATAATGTCACTTAATTAAGAAAAAATTAAGTAATGCTCTTAAAAATACTTTGCTAAAAAATCATCATCCGAGTTTGCGAATTTGTTATTTCAGCATTCGGTAGCTTAGAAGCAATCAAAAAAGTATCGTGTCGTGGACATATGACAAACATTAAACAAAACGTACATACAAACACATTAACAAATACTAGACAAAAATTATTTAATAGTTGACAAAATATTTAGTGACACTGGTGACCTGATGATCTGATGATGATCGATCAGACCGATGAAGTGCTGTCAAAAGTAACTGTGATAAATCATATGAAAATAGATTTTAGTAATTTCACGATTATTTTACATCTTATAACTTTACAAAAATTACATCATGCGAACCCCCTTCTCACACACACTCCACACACACATACACACACACATACAAACCTACACAACACACACGGTAGAAATGTTAGAGTAAACATGCCAACTTGTATGTCCAGCGATAATGAATGTTCATGGTTATTTAGAAGGAACGCTCATTCTTTAATTATAAGCAATCCATTATAAGCGGGGAGCGAGCGTTCTTTCTTCGATCTATTGCTTTAATCTTCTTTTTTCTTCATATTGTGCATGCTACTAGATAAAAATTTTTGAATTAAAAACAATTTCATTCGCTTACCCGTGCCTTTCAATTAAAATTTTGAAATTTGGGATTAGTCTGCTTGACGTTTAATTTTAAATCATCTTGAGATAGCCTCAAAAAAGAACTTTCTATTCTGGTCACCATTCAAACAAATTTTTCATAAAAAGAGTTTTTTTAAGTTAAAACAAAGTGAAGTAAAGTAAATGTATAAATTCCCAATTAGTATGCGGTAGGCGTGTGTTTGAAGTTATTTACATTTCATTCGTTTGTTTGTTCATCCCTGCGTTAGTGGTTCCCTTCCAACTCTACATCACCAACCAGCATACATTCATTCGTTCGTTCGTTTGCTAGTTCGTTCATGCATGCATCAATTAATTAATTCATTTATTCGTTCGATTGTTCACTCACTCACTCACTCACTCACTCACTCACTCACTCACTCACTCACTCACTCACTCACTCACTCACTCACTCACTCACTCACTCACTCACTCACTCACTCACTCACTCACTCACTCACTCACTCACTCACTCACTCATTATATTTATTTCATTCATGTATGTTTGCTCCAGCTTGTTCGCATGCAAAAGGTAGATACGCAACAACGTTCGTATTTCAATTCTTTCATACACTGCGTTGTTCATTCTTGAGGAAGTTTTGTTGGCATTAAAAATAAAAAAAATTTGCAGAATGAATGTTTCCATGCTGCCACTGAAGGGAAAAATTATTTTGACGGAACACAGATCCCATTAACAAGCCTAAAATGACTTTTTGAATTAGGTGTACATGCGAGTTTGTTCAACGGTTTGCGATTATGCCTAGATGTCTGTCTTAAGAAGAATTTTATATACACTAACATCTATTTACATTTGTGTGTTGTATGTGTACGTAATCTTTCAAGTGGCACTGCAAATTTTATTTCAAATAATTTTACAAGCACGTACATTCAAACTACACGTACCTGAGTAGAAACCTCGCGTGATTTGGATGAATAGAGAAGAAGAAAAATTGAATGAACACTGAATAATTAGGATGATTAAGATGATGTCAAACACAATGGCGATCACTTTTGTCATGATGTTGTTGTGAGATGATGGTGTTGATGTGGTTTATGTTAAAGATGATCTTGACTTTGTTGTTAATGTTGGCGATGTTGATGTTATTGCGATGTTTGCTGCTGATGGTATTGATGTTGTTTGCTGTTTTTTAACAGTAGTGGTGGGTTTTGGCGTGTTTAGCAGTTAAGAGGTGATTAAGTGTTAAATGATGGTGAAAATGGCGACAAGGCCCGTTAGTATATAGTTATAATAATAATGGTGATGACGATGACGATGTGATGTGCTCAAAAAAAAGATTTTGCAAAATGTGCCGCTTCATTTTTTATTGCTTATGAAAACATTTTTACAGATGATAACGATGATTATTAAAATGTGAAAATTTTTATAATAATTAAAAAAAACACGACGAAACACTTTAAACGCTTTTACAACACACAAACACACACACAAACACACGCGCACACACACAAACACACGCACACACACACAAACACTCATGACAAACACGGTGACACATTCTCATGTTGTTGAAGGTAGCCATGTTGTGGATGTCGTGTCACTTGCAGACAGATGGCAGCGAAAAAAATTTAATTTGACAGTTTTTTAATTTTTGAATTTCAATTGGATTCCTCGCGTGTTATTTAGACGGCTTTAAAGCCATCACATGATTGCTGGAAGAAATACGTGTCCGCAACAAATTAACGAACGATATTTTGAAAGAAATCAACAACTTCCTTAAAACGTTATAAACACCTCGACATTTTTAACACATTTACACACAACAACGTTAAACATGCCGTAAGCAACAAAAAACTTAACATGAATTTCATTATATATAATAACAACTACAATAACACTTTACATTTTCAGGTCTGGGATGAATTTTATTGCCGGTTAGCCACTATATTAAACAGCTCCTATACGCGCAAGTTTATGCATGTAAGCTAATTGATTAGTCAACTGTCTGTGACACGATTTTGAATTCTTTGTGGTTTTAACTAACACGTGATTTCAAGTGACACATGCTACTTAAATATAAGTTTTGAATATTTAAAAATTCTTTTTTTTTATTTTGAACTACGAATAAAAAAATTACAAACAAAATTTTGGTTAATTTTGTAACCATGAATTATTGAAAAACATAAAGAAAGTAAATTTTGTTAAATTGAAAATTCAAAATAAATTAAAAATTTTGGTTTCGATAACGGTTTAGGCAAAAATTGCGATAAAAACTTAACGTTATATGTCGGTTTTGCCTATAATTCCATAACTGTGTAGTCATTCTAGTAGATCAAAACACTAAATGGATAAGAACCGAGATAGCAGAAAGCTTTTCCATAAAACCAGTCTACAGTCTACAGAAATTAAAAAAATCATTCTTCAATAAGCGCATTACTACTTTTCAAGAAAATAAGCCTATGAGCATTTTATGAAAACGAAAACAGTAAACTTCGATCGTCACTACTCATCTGACGAGCTACAAAGTTAAAACTCATGTGAAAACGTTTAAATAAAAATCCGGCCCATTTCAATTAGTTATTAAATTATATCTATCTTAAATTCAAGATCCAAATTAATAAATGTATTAAAATTATTGCATTTTATGAACAAGGCGTTTGTTCGTTTGTTTTTTGAATGAGTTTGATGAAGAAATCATTTTAACACTTTGTTCTTTTTTTATTATGTTTCCAAACGAATTTCCTAAATTTTTTTGCATTTAAGCTCGCACAACATGCACGTCAACAAAATAAATATTCTTTCATTCCTTAAATTTGTTAGCATGGGTTCACGCATTTTGAAGTGCACTTGCTTTGAATTTAATGTATTCAGTAGAATGTTAGTGAATATAAGCCGGCTAAGCAGGTAGACGTAACATTGCCGACATCTTTGTTCATGGCTGGCTGATGGCCCTACACGGCTTCATATTACGTAACTTCAAGCCAGCTTACTTCGCTTGTGTGGTTTTGTGATGTCTGAGACATATTTTCAAATGTACTTATAAATAAAATTTAATAAAATAAATAAATTAATAAATAAATAAATGAATGATTAAATAAATATATAAAAATATGTATTGAAATTTTTTTTTAATGAAGCATAAATAAGTTAAAATAAAACAAACGTATTTTATACATTACATACTTACATATTTCATTATACAAGCATAATCAGCCTGGCCTGAAGTTACGTAATTTGAAGCCATGCAGGCCCATCAGCCAACCATAAACGAAGATGTTACGTAATGTTACGTCGGCTTTTACTTGCCAACATTCTGAATACATTCAATTCATACATATATATATATTATATTATTTATATATATAATATTATATATATATATATATATATATATATACAGACGCATTCGCAAAATAATGCAATTTTACAACTAACAAAGAAATCATATTGTTAGAACTAACTTTGTGGTATCCGCATTTATCGATGGAAGCGCCCATGTATATAAAGACCACCCCTGGTTAAACTCGTAAATATAAACAGTTGGTGGTGATTTTTACGTTGAGTTATTTTTAATAAATTTTATCGATCTGTTTTCTCTTTACACTTAGATTTATAATTGGATTGTTAGATTCTCAAAGTATGGATACTAGAATGAATCAGCTGGACAATAGGAAGTTGTTCGACAATTACTACCCGCCCAACATGGACCACAGGTTCACTCAAAATTATCCCCTCTTTCCTCAAAATCAATTTTCATTTCCGAGTACTTTTCAAGTTTCTTCCGGTCAACGAGGTCCTCAAAATTCTTTGAATCAGTTTTCTAACAACCTAGATGTGTACAGCAATGAGAAGAAGTGCGGGCAAGAAAGAACATCAAACGAAAACCCTTCCATAACAAAAGACGATGTCGGAGAGGTTTCAGATGGCAACAACCAAAATGTGAGTAAAACTAACGTGAAGGACAGAAAACAAGGAAAACCCGTTCCGAAAGAAAAGAAGGATGAAAGTTACTGGGAGAGGAGAATGAAAAACAACCTGTCTGCAAAAAGATCGCGTGAAATACGGAGGACGAAGGCGAAGATAACTGAAGATGAGTTAAACAAAACTGCAGCCCAGTTGACTTCAGTAAAAAATTATTTGTTCGAGTTGAAGCAGAGGGAGATAGCATTGCAGCAGGTGCTTAATAGGATGGGGACTTAAAACTGAGAAGATTCTGCAAAGTTTCGCGCAATATTTCTACAATTGTTTAATGTTTGTGAAAAATTTGAACGTTCACATCATTATTCGATAATCTATTTACACTGATCGTTTGTATTTTGTACTTTTCAAATATTCTCTCTTAATGTTTGTTTCATTAAAATGTTTTCTAGTAGACTTCGTCAAAATATACTTATATACAATTTTTTATTGCTTACACGTATGTAAAACATGAAGATAGGGAAGATAAAATCTGACAACTCATTTGAGCACATATACTATATTCATTCGATTTCATTTATAAAAATATGAAAACAACGCCATTTTCACGTAATTCAGTTAATATGAATATTAATATGCAAGTGCATGCATTTTACTTGCGCTTGCCAGGCAAATTTATAATCTGCATGTTTGTGTGTTTGGCTTTCATGTTGGTGTAATTGATGTACGTTCCAATCCTCTGTGTCGTTGTTTGCATGTTACGCTGTGCGCGTATTTTTCATTTTACCATCACGTTTGCATGATTTTCCTCCTAATACATTTGTGTGAGTCTAATTTAGTGGACATCAAAATGGGAAGTTCAATAAAAGTTTCATCGTTGTTTTGTCATAGTTTAAGTTGGTAAGAGTTCATGTTTAATTCTATTTGTAGAACAGACCTGAGCAAAACATTTCATGCAACCAGCAAAAAAAAGTCAAAGATAATGAATGATTGCAAGTTAAATGCATTCTAAAATATTTTAAAAAGTAACTGTTACACGCACATACACACATATACAAACACATACATACACACAAAAAAATAAAATAAAATACGTTCAAGTCCGAAAAAGAACAAAAATTGTCAGTCAAAAAGAGAAAGTAAAAAACGAAATAATTAAATTAGCAAGCATAACCTGAATCATTGACTTGGGTTATGCAAAATTGCGTAGCGTTGTGGCCTAATGGTCAAAGGTGTCTCGTGCTGTTTCGCAGTGCCTGCCCGCAGTGACCGGGTTCAAATATGGCAAAAGGATTCCCACCCATCCATCACATGCTTCATGTGTGAGGCGTTTAGCACATATACGGTGTCTGTGTGTTTCAGAACTTTAGAAAAGTGTACAAGACTTTTTAAGTTAGCAAATGCACCAAAAATGAACATATTTATAATTAGAATGATTAAAATCTTGGTTTATTATTTCAGGAATGGCGGTTATGGATTTTTGGATATCAATCGATCGATCATTCATTGAAACAATTTTCAAACATTTTTCTCAAACATTCCATCAATCTAGCTCTCACATTATTTCACTGTGGTAACACGCTAAGCTAACTATTTAACATTTTTCTAGAAAAATAAATGAATTGAGATATAAAGATCTTGATATGTATAGTTGTGAAGGCATTTTACAAACGCAGGGCGTCCCAGTGTTTCCTTCCCTGTTAGTATTGAAAGATTCTTCATCAGATCTTGTAATGCACGCTCATTCATTTGCTTGTTGTTGCGAATTCTTCTGATCGCTTGTCATGAAATATTGTATGTAAAAATATTGTTATAAACAGTCTTGTAACTAAATAAGTGTTTATATTTGTCTATCAAAAAACAAAACTTTTTGATAAATTTGATGGAAGTTATTATAAATGTCTGTACCTAACGCTTTGAACACTTTATACATTTGCCGTTCTACCTTTAAATGAGAGTTTTAACTTTTATCTTTGAAACTCGCACAACTTGCAAGGTAATAACAAATATATGTTTAATTTTCATATAAATTTGTGTGGATTCACTTATTCTGAAGTGCACTCAGGTTGAATTTTATGTTCTTACTTTTGATTTATACATCCAGTGCCTTCAATCTTGTTGTTTAAACTTTAAATGAAATAAGGTCTTTGTGTAAGAGTTTTGATGCATGAAAAGGTTAAAAAAATTTCAAAATGTTTCTTTATTTTTGAATGGCTTGCGAGCTAATAGAAAAAGTGGTAAATATAACCAACATATGAATGATAGGATATATATATATTGTTATAACCGTGCTACCGAACGCACTAGAACATTCTAGAATATGCTAGAATTGGACCATCTAGAAGAATCTAGAAACGACGCTTGCGAAGAGTATATAAGCGCACGTCGCAAGAAGATTAGCGATTAGTGAAATTTGTGATTTTGTAAATTCGTGACTCTGTGATTTTGTGAATAGCGATTCGGTGAATTATTTAAAGCGATATTTGATTTGTTTGTTGACGTTGTCATAGCGATAGATTTTGAACAATTTAAAAGTTAATTGTTGCGTTAATTTGAATTTGCTAGAAATAAACGATTAGTTGATTTCTTCTGTAAATAAAGTTTAATAACTAATAACTGTTTGGAGTATTTTATTCAATCGAAGATTTGAACCCGTCGCATCGTAAATCGGTTACGACAGCGAGTATTATAACATTGGTGTCAGAAGTGGGATCTTCGACCAGCGAATTACTACTCATAGAAAAAGAACACGATGTCAAAACTGTGTGGTTTGAACGTAGTTCAGCTACGAGAAGAACTACAGAAACGAAGCCTTGTCACAAGTGGCAACAAAGAAGTACTAGTAGCACGTCTGAGAAAAGCTCTCATTGATGAAGGTAAGAACCCAGACGAATTCAAGTTTGATGGTGCTGACGAAGACTATGAAATTAGCAGAGGCACGTTTACAACCGCTAAAATGATGGAACTTCTGTTTAGTATGTCAACTGAAATAAAACAACAGATCAAGGAACAGTCCGAACAGATCAAAGAACAGTCCGAACGACAGTCCGAACGACAGACAGAAGAGTTAAAACAGATCAAGGACCAGCTAAAACACGTAAAATTGGAAGTGGCAGAACAGATTGAAGAACAGTCAACAAGAATAGAAATGATCGAGCAGAAACTTGATCGTCAGACCGTTGAGGTAGATCACAAGATAGACAAATTGAAGCGAGAATTGGAGCAATCCAAAAAAATGGCCATGCCGTTAGATCACGCATCCGGAAGAACTTTGAAGGTACCAGCATTTAACGGAGAGATGTCCTGGAACGTTTATAAAACCCAGTTCGAAGCAGCGGCAACTAGTAACTGTTGGAACGGAAAAAAACGAGCAACAGCACTGATACTGGCCCTGCGAGGTTCAGCAGCAGAGGTTCTTCAGACGATTCCGGCGAAGAACCACTTCAACTATGAAGGTCTGGTTAGCGCGTTGGATTTACGTTATGGTGAAAAACACATGAAACAGATTTATCGGTCTCAGCTTAGAAACAGAACGCAACGATCTGGTGAATCCATTCAGCAGCTGGCACAAGATATCGAACGGTTGACATTGCTGTCGTATCCGACATCAGACCCCGAGCATAGAGACGAAACTGCCCTGGATACGTTTATCAAAGCCCTTCGTGATATATATATATTTATATATTTATATATATATATATATATATTTATATATATATATACATATATAGAAATATAATAGACACATTAATGTTAAATAACAACAAAATGATGAATAATAACAGTGACGAAAATAGCAAAACATCATTGCACCGAAACAAACAAAGGTTTTTTTTACAACTTGCGAAGTCAAAGTTACCTACAACTTGAATGAAAATCATCAATCATACAATCCTCAAATGCACTTAATGTCATTATCAAATATCGCAGCGGTAATCTTCTGCAATGGCTGTCATCAAATATTTTTCATCAACGTCATCAGTGATGACATCAATGATGACACTATGTCATTATTGGTGGCGACTGTGAGATTAATCTATGAAATTAATTAGCATCCAACGTTAACATAATTAACTTTGAAAATGTTATCAGCAAACCAGTGATATAGTCGTCAGCAACAACAAAACATTTATCGTATAATTTTCATCATCATTGCCCTCAACACCATCATCGTCGTCATTCTCGTCGTCGTCATCATCATCATCATCATCATCATCCTGAACCACCTCACGTACCGCCTTCGAATCAATATCATAATCACTTTTTATCCTCACCAAAGAAGGAAAGCAATCACAACTCTCTCTCCGGCACCATTCCATAATCTCCCTTACTCCTTTATTCCATCCCTTACTCCTTCATCCTCTCCCTCCTCCTTCATCAATCATCTCACTTCCCTCATTTTCTCCTTCACCCCCTCCTCATCATCATCACCTCATAACTTCTAGCACTTTAAACTAGATAGAGTCATCATTATCACCGTCGGCATCATAAGTACACAATTTCTAGAGTTATCACTATCATCATTGTCGTCAGCCTCATCAATATCATCATCCTGTACATCATTACAATGTTGTTACTGACGTCATGCTATTATCATCAACCTTATTACCATATAATCATTTGGAAGCTTTGAATAGTTTATTGAATTTATAAAAGTAACAAAGAGATGCCACACTGAATGGATGAAAAGCAAGTTAATTCTACGTTGGTTTCTTGATACAGCAGCTACTAGACATTTCAGACAATTTAACAACAAAATTTATTAAAATATTTTCAAACAAAAATTAAATCTTGATAAGATAATGCAAAGTCAAAATTGTGAACAAGAACAAAAGAACACAAGAACATCAATATTTTAACATTACACACTTCAAGTGCAGAAACACAAAGTAAGAGCAAAACAGCCTGAAAATTGGATAAAATTTGCCGAGAAAACGTTTGGCTCGTCCCTTTCTTCATCTTTTCTCTCTCATTGCCATCTGGGTCTTATAATTTTTTTTCTTTTTCCTCTTTTCCTCTCTTTTATTATTACAAGTTTATTTGAAAGGAAATCAGGTAGTCAAAATAAGAAAGATCTTCTGCAGACTACATTAACTAATCTTCTTCAAATTTATCATCAACTTCTTCAAATTTATCATCATCGGATCAAAATTTAGCCTAATTAAAATCTTTATAACCATTTTAGATTCATTATCTTCATCATCATCTGTATTTTTATTTCAAGTTTTTTTTATAAACAT